CCCAGGTCTGCTGTGGCAGCTGCGTCCCAGCGACGTGGAGGTAGAGCTGCTGGCCCACACGCGGGACGTGGTCAGCCGGGAGCTGCTCGCCGAGACGGGGCCGCACACGGGCTGGGTGGAGAACGGAGGGCTCTTCATCGCCTCCAACAAGCAACGCCTCGATGAGTACAAGAGGCTCATGTCGGTAGGGTGAAGCCCCTCGGTGTGTCCCCTGGCCGGATGGGCTGCGGGACGTGGCGTTTCACCCATCCCTGGCTGCCTTTGCGCCCAGAGAGCTGTGAGGGGCTGGGGTTGTGCTCCAGGGTGGGCTCCTGGCTTCTGCAAGGCTGCTGAAATCGGGCACAATGCTGGCAAAGTGGGCAAAAATCCACAGTTGGATTTTTCGGATAGGGGTAGTGTAATTTCTCCAGTTGTACAGGAGTGGTAGCGTCATTTTTCCAGCTGCACAGGTAGCTTACAGGAGAGTATGGGACCATATTCCCTGAAATATCTCCCGTGTGCTGGGGAGACCTTACAGCAGCCTTCCAGCACCTGAAGGCACCTACAAGAAAGCTGGAGAGGGGCTTCTTACAAAGGTGTGGAGTGATAGGACAAGGGGTAATGGCTTTAAACTGAAAGAGGGTGGATTTAGATTTGAGATAAGAAATTCGTTACTCTGAGGGTGGTGAGGCCCTGGCCCAGGTTGCCCAGAGAAGCTGTGGCTGCCCCCTCCCTGGCAGTGTTCAAGGCCAGGTTGGACGGGGCTTTGGGCAGCCTGGTCTAGTGGAAGGTGTCCTTGCCCATGGCAGGAGGGTTGGAAAGACATGACCTTTAAGGTCCCTTCAAACCCTTACCATTCTATGAGTCTATGAAATTTGTGCAGACCGTCCCATCCCATGTTGGATTTTGGGCTTGCTTTGAGGCAGCAGTTGCCTCATCTGGGAGCCGAATATGTCCTGGGGGTCTCCTCCTTCAGCAGCAAGTGATGAGCAAAGCTTTTGTTGCCTGCTTGAGCTCCCAATTTTCTTACCCTGTTGGCAGCTGGGGAAGGTGTACGGCGTGGAGTCCTATGTCCTGACCCCGTCGCAGACCAAGGACCTGTACCCACTGATGAACATTGACGACCTATACGGCACGCTGTACGTCCCCAAGGACGGCACCATGGATCCAGCTGGTACCTGCTCGACTCTTGCCAGAGCAGCAACAGCTAGAGGCGCTATGGTAGTTCCTAATTAGTAATTATTCATTAATACCTGTTGACCCTGGGAGGAGATTTCATCCTCTGCCTTCGTCATCTTCTCCTTTCCCACTGGAGCAGAGCTGCTCCTGCAGCATCAGGTCTTTGCCCAAGAAGGATGTTGTCCTGTTCAGCTTTGATGGCTCTTTGGGTCACAGTGACAAAGCTGGCAGGAACCGTGAGATCCAGGGAAAATACAGGATGGAAAAAAGACCTTCAGGAGCAAGATGAGGCAGAGCCCAAGGGAGGTTCCTCGGGAGATCAGAGGTTTTAGGGTCAGGTAACACAATCCACTCCTCAAGGCAGGGACTACCAGCCCATCCTTGGTGCGTTGCTTAGCTCATGTGCATGTAAATAGTGAACATCTCTGTAGCTGTGGGTGCACGGAGCAGCAGTTTGAGCCCACGGTTGAGGGAGGCTTGTTATTACCAACGGTAACAATAGTAGCTGTTGGGAAAAGGGAGGTGGTCAATGCCAGATTTCTGCTTGGATTCACCTTTCCCAGATTTGGGAGGTAGATGTCAGGTGAACCGGGACGTCTCACGGCTTCTCTCTGACTCTGCTGCCCTCCCTCTGTCACCAGATCATTGAGAACTGCCCGGTCACCGGGATCCAGGTCAGAACCGATGACTTTGGGGTGAAGAGGGTGTATGCAGTGGAGACGGCCCATGGGACCATCCAGACTCCCTGCGTGGTGAACTGTGCAGGTACAGGGCGCAAAGCACGGCGGGGAGGCTGGGGGACCAGGGATGCGGCTACGGGGCTTTGCATCCCGTGAGCGAGCCGGAGGGTCTGAGTCAGTCCTTGTCCCCGCATCGGGCTGTCACCCCGGGACCAGGCAGGTCTCGGGGGACGGAGAGGGGCTCAGCGCGGGGCTGCTCTCTCCGCAGGCGTGTGGGCGCGCGCCCTGGGCCGGCTGGCC